GCTATGATCAGCTTTCGGTTTTTCAACCACTTTTACGGGGGCAGGTTTCCCTTTTTTATCAATACTTTTCTTCCTTACAACCTTTACCCATTCGTCAACGCTGCTGGTAGAAGCAATAGCAGTTGCGTCAAACCTAGTGTTGGGTTTTGGGGGGTTGTCGACGACCTGAGGGGTCGTGTTATGTTTACCATTTGAAACCGATCGAGACTTGCGATTGCGGCTCCTAGGTGTTTCTTGTTGGATCCCATCTGGGAGACGGGGAACAGAAGACCCTATTTTTCTTGAGCTTTTTTTTTAAAGCAGGCCCCTTTGGAGACTGCTTTTCCTTCTTTGACGGGCGTGAGTCATCTATCACCGGACTCACCTTAGTTTCCTTCACATTGATTTGCGTGTCAACAGATCGAGTGCTGTTTGACGCGTTCCGACTATGCTTGTTGAAACACTTCTTTGCAGCATCAACCAGTGAGATGGCCTCGGTTAACAAGCTGTTTGCATCCGAGCAGCACTGTTGACAAAGCCACACACAACCCTTCTTACTGAACCGTTTGAAAGCTGCAGGCGTTAAGTTCGTGCAAACTTCGTGGTACCAGCCTTTGCACTCGTCGCACTGCATGCCGCTTTCAACAGGATAACGACAACCCGGACGTTGGCAACTGCTTTTTTTTACACTGTCCGGTCATTTGGGAGGGGTTTTTAATATGCGATGATACCCAGAAACAAAAAAATTATCAATGACCAAAAAACGTGAAGAGCTGTAGATTGCTAGGACCAAAAGTACTAACAGATACAGTTGAAAAAGAGGTACTAAAGAGTAGAAACGACAAAATAGTAAAAACGATACTTTAGTCGAATACTTTAACTGAAATAAATTCAATTAAAGTGAAAAACAGTAGTCTTGATACGTAAAAAACGGTCAAAACAATGAAATTTACTCAGCGAGGAAAAATACCACTGTCGTTTTTAAATAGCGCGCTCGTCGTTTATAAAATGTAATCAGAAAGAAGTAGGCGTTAAACTAACTATGAATATTATATAAATTGTTTGTATTTTGCCATAAAAGGTTATTTGGACTATAGGTAGCATTGTTTTGTACTGAAGTGACATATTATTGTGTAACGTATCAGAGAAAAATTATGTGAGTAACAATTGACGTTGATAGTCTTTTTTACCGGCTTTCTGAACGTATACAGGAACAGTGTATAACACCACATTAAATAGGCACAAAATCTTCATAAGTAAAACGATGGGTGTCTCTTCTGAGCATGGTGACAAAACCATGTCGTACTAAATACTGATTTATGATGTGTCTGTTATAGGGTTGACGAATAATTTTCTGTAAACGAAATGCACAATCGCAGACGAAAATGTGAACAAAGTTATGATGCATATTGTCGAGTAATATCTAAATTGTGCTTACCAATTTCTCTCGCTAATACCAGATGTATAGACGAAATACTACAAGGGTTAGACACTGAATAAATTCCCAGTGCTTGTTACGACACAGACTTGAAAAAAACTATTAATGAGTTAATTCATGAATTCCTACTGCATTACAGACTGACTCGTCCGAAGTAATTCATGCAGACAACGTGACGAAAAGTGAATGAGCAATGGAAGCAGAATCACAAGTTCCTTGTATTCATATCTCCTTTATGCCACATTAATTAATTACATTTTCTTCATAAGTCAAACTACGCTTGTATGTTGTGACGAAACTAACTTCAGCAATTTGTAAATAACACTGATATGTGTGTTGTAAAGATTACCTATTAATTTTGATTAAAGGAAATAGAAATCTCTAATGATTAGCGCTGTCTGCAAATAAGAGACTTATAGGTTCATTCTGTAACCTGCTATTTGATGGACTTATTGAATGTGATACTGATAACTAAGTCTAATTCTTTATTTCACGACTGATTTATTGTTTTTCAGAATTGTATGAATCCATTAAAGTCGTCAAAGCTTTGAGATGATGTTTACGCCGGTCTACAACTTATGGAAGTTGTGATTATGGAAGATCATGTTAAAAACCGGTTTACTCCAGTCCACTATTACACCACCCATTCTTAATGTGTTATTGACTGTAAAAACAAATGACCTTTGACCTTAAGCTGCATATATATATATATATATATATATATATATATAGTCATTATTGATAACCTACGTCATTTCAATTATTCATATTCAGGTATGTCAACTGTTTCCCAAATCACTGTTAATTCCTAATGCATATTTAGTTATAATGAATGCATACCACTGTTAATCAACATTTCTCCTGGTTTCATTTTAATTCATAAGCGGAACTAATCACATGAAATTAAAATCTTCTTAGCTACTGATACGATTTTGATGATAAACGTATTCCGACGAAGGTGAATATGATATGTGGGTGCCTAATCTGCAAGACTGTACGTGGATGTAGGGTTTCTTATTCATTCTTAATTATTACACAGTTACACATGAACATCAATGCTATTCATTCCCATGAAAGTAGGAATAAGATGAAAATTAAAATTATGAAAGTTTATTGAATAATCATTGCTGCTAAAGCAGAAAATCAAGTTTACAAGTTGGTATTAAGAATTGTTAAGTAATAATTGTCCACTTTCTTCTCAACTTCCGTTGCGAAACGTTCACCATACTTTTCAATGATGCGATGCTTATGGACTCTTTGGCTTCGTTGAATACTTATATACACTTCATTTGGTCGTGGTAATGCAGTTAATGTATCATTTTGGAAGTTCTGGGTATTATGTAACTTCCATCTGCTACAATACCTAAGAAGTTGATGAGCTATGCAGTTAGTATTTCATAATTGATATAACTTACCTGTAAGATTTCGTCTTTTAACGTAGGCAAGTAGCATGTGACGACAGGGATATCGACACATCATAAACGTGCTACAATTGCATTGACAACTGCTTACATCCACTTCATAATGTTGTCCGCGGTCAACCATAAACAACCAGTCGCCGCTTTCATATTCCACGTAGACGAAACGCATTTGTTTAAGTTCGTATAACAATTTAGATCTTGCAAATGGGGTCAACATGTTTAGCAGGGGTATAAGACACTGTGGAGCATTATATTTATAAGATCTTCCGGCTATTACTTGATCTTCTATAATTCTTCTAGTTGACGTCATTCTCTCCTTAATACTTTCGATAACTTCATCTGCTGACTCACAGTGAAGTACTACGGGCTTCAAGTTCTCTTTTTCTTCTGATGATAATCTCCTTGTCCATGGATCACATACCATCCATGAGCTACTACATGGATGATTGTGGAGCATGTTGTAGGATTTGATGAAATATCCTTGCTCCTCTAGCCTTACACGGAATTTAGATTGACAATTACGGAATTTAGACCTTAAACATAAGACATTAGTTAAAGGTCTTACGATTTTTGCTTCACTGTCACACCTTCCGATTTCCGTTTATGACCAAACGTACAATTAAACGTTACAAACAGGTATTTGAACCTGACATCCTTCAGCAATCTGCTTTCTGTGTGGATGTAACGAGTATAAGTAGTCTGAGAAGCGATAAAATTATAATTCCATACTTTTTGGAACTCTTTTATGGCGCTTTCAGTATCATACTTCGAAAGGCATCGGTTAGGTCGACTGAAATGTCACTTGAGCATGAAGCACTAAAAACAGACATGATTAATTATTAAAAGTTTATTCCATGCAACAATAATAACCCAAGGAAATACTAAAAATACTTAGGATTTACCTGTGACTTGACATTTCGTTGAGCTTTACTACAGTTGTTGGGATCAAAGATCAAATTACAAAGCAACAACAGAGCCAAAGTGTACACTACAAGACAGAGAACTTTAAATTAATGGTTTTGTGGTTTCGTGCTTTTTTATGTAGCATAAGATGACTTATATATGAAAAAACTTGATACTCATGCAATCCAACCAACCCACGGCAATTGAAATACGGAATGGCCGCCTCTAGTCAAGCCGTTCAAGGTCGTTCAAACGAAAGGGCGGACACATTTCGAAGGGACCTAACGTTTAAACCGTGCCCTTGGAAAAGTGACAAAAATGTTGTACAACTAACCACAAAACTGATTAAAAACATCAACTTTAAAGGAAGCAAACCAAGTTAAAAATTAGCAAATAAGCTTTTGATGCTCGAATACGAGCACACACATTTTAAATCAAGGACAAGTGACAAAACATGATATAACGGTAGAACTCTAATTTATGGACGAGCCAGTCAGAAGCGTTTAAGGAGTTTCAAGGTCATGGCGCTAAGTTCAGTGCGGGGTGCTCACATTCGATCGTTTTACAGCTGATTTTAGAGAATAGGTGATCGTTGAGAGACTACAGCAAATGGGACTATTAGGAAGTTCCTGTGTCTGTAACTGCAGCAATTAAATGACCGTAGCACGATGTGCAGACTGCCGCGATGACATTGTATTTCGTTGTACTATATGTTGTTGAAAAAAATCTGCTCGAACTGGCACTTTTTTTTACTCGGTCACGGCTAAGGCTAAGACAAACCATGATAATCGTTGCAAATTGGATCATAAAGTCCTCAGTAACATTAGCTCCGGCTATACCGATGTTTGGAAAGCGTATAGATGCCTCTCCAGACTTGGTTTTGTGCATCATGTAGTGGTGTATAAACGTCATTTCTTTGATCAAACGACGGGGGGTCCATACAAACAACATTGAGGGCATGTGGTCTAGGCTGAAGTATTTTTAAAGACCCTACCACGGCTCCAGAGGACGATTATTATGGAGTCATATGGACGAGTTCTTATACCGCATGCACTAAGATTTCAAAACTTCTGAACCTTTATCAAACCTCAACAAGTTCTCAAATAATGTAAAAGAAAAATATCCATTGTAATTCATCACTCTTTTATAATATATTTTTACTTAATACTAACTCTCTTCTGATTGGCTAATGTACTCAAGGTCACTTAAAAATTCGTTCAAAGGTCGTCCATAAATTAGAGTTTCACCGATATAACACCACATGAGAGACGTGGCACCTTTTCTAGTGGGAATACGATATGATCTGCCACGTCTCTCATGTGGTGTTATATCTTGTTTTGTCACTTGTCCTTGATTTAAAATGTGTGTGCTCGTATTCGAGCATCAAAAGCTTATTTGCTAATTTTTAACTTGGTTTGCTTCCTTTAAAGTTGATGTTTTTAATCAGTTTTGTGGTTAGTTGTACAACATTTTTGTCACTTTTCCAAGCAATCTTCTAATTATGTAGTTTTTGCTAGATGTGGGTTTCAATGAACACCTGGGTGTTCACTAGTGTAATTGTCAACCTTATGCCGGTATAGGGATTAAAATCCCTCCACACCTGTTAATGAAAGACTGAGATGTTATTTGTTTAATGTGTCTTCATATCCTGCTTACCTACTTTCTAAGTGATTCATATAATTTTAATTCCCACCCTTTTGCGTAAAAGAAATGACTCAACTAATCACAGTTACATGAGCTGCTTGAAAAATCCGAAGCATGTCCTAGTTCAGGCGCTAAAATCTCTGATAAGCAACCATGCGACTACAAGACCTTTGGCAATTGTAACTTCGTAGATAGCTGTGATTCTGAGGTTATGTATTGCCGTAAACTCTTGATCTTTGCACTTTGTAATCTTGGCCATACAGTTTCCTTTAAGCATGCTATGTTGAAAGCCTTCATAACCGATAAGAATTACAACCCTACTAGTGTTCACTCCCGATCACAACCATTTGTACACCTAACTAGTGCATACAAAAAAAGTCGTAGCCCTACTCCGTCACCATTGCATATGTTTATCCACACATTAAGATAATTAACAAAAATTAAATTAGATTATTTTGTAAAGTAGAGTAAACGGAAACCTTGAATCATATCTTGAGGTACATGACTCATACCTGGACCCCATGAAGATAGATTGCCATATATCCCCACCTTTTGATTTACACGACTAATGAAGTGTTTCATATACTATTTAGTCTTTTGTTTGGTTCCAAAACTGAAAATGCACCTACATATTCTCTAGCTGATATCTTTAATCAGTATGTAAACAGGTGTATTTATATCTTCGTCTGCAGCCCACGTTTTTGGGATACGATTTATAAAACAAGAGCGGCTCATTCTAGAAGTTCGTTGTCTTTTGGCTAAAGGATCATCTCCTTTCACAGCACAAATAATCTTTTCCAGTACTTCAACATATTTACTGATAAGATGGGCTAGTCGATGATTATTTGCCGAACTCCTATATCCAGTTCAAAAGATAGATTGGTGATTTTGTCCCCCCAGCTGTTTGGAAATTTTTATTGATTTAGTGATATTTTAAATGTCATCATCATTGCTACAGTAAAACCTGTTAGCATTTGTATCATTCATCTAAACCAATATATCAAATGATTTGTCACTTGTTTGAACGTGAATATCTGAGATACTGGGTGGGTTCACGTAAACTTACCTATGGTGTCAACAGAATCAAGTATTTTTTAGAAATCATGTTGGCTTAATTCCACCATTATTTTGTCGTCTTATAGTTTCTTATTTGTGGTATTTAGTGGCTACCGTAATTATCTATGAACTTTTGATTAACGTCTCATTTGGGTAGCCTCAAGTATCCAGTCATTTACTTTTTTCCGTTAAGACGTTTTGGATCGTTGATCGTCGTAATAACTATTGTATTTGGTAGTATTTGCCTGTCCAGTCATTTTATCTCGTTTTTTATTTACCTTATGTATATCATAGGCTCATCGACCTTTGGAAAGCAGTGAAATATTGATCTATATTGGTACTGGTTAAATCCTTACATGGATGTGATTTTCGAAAGTTCACGTATTGCAAAAAATGTTTCATTCACAACTTATTGCCGTCTATTAGAAAAGCTAGCATCAAGTGATGGGGTCAAGACGAAAGAAAAAATTTTGTCCAAATTTATAATTTTATGGGAGACCCAGTATCTTGCATTAGACTCAATAAGTCAGTATCCGTGTGGTGGTCGAGCTAGTCTTTATTTACTCTTACGTTTGTTGATTCCTTCTCATGATAGATCAAGGAAAGCTTTCGGATTACGTGAACAAACACTATCAAGACTAATAATTAAAGCTATTGGGCTTGCCCCAAACAGTCTGGCTGCTCGTAAACTTTCACATATTCATCCTAATATTATCCATCGACAGACTGATTTTGCCGATGTAGCATATACAGTACTCAAAGCTCGAAGTCGTGAGGACAGTGTTTTGTCTGTCAAGGTATGTAAATAAGTATGATTTCAACTTATTCCTTTATTCAATCTGTTCATTGGTTGCCGAAACGTATTACATCCTCAGCATCTCAGTTTATATCTTGACACTTCTCCAACAGAGTTGATTGAATTATCTGAAACATAATAGCCACCAATGTTTGTATTAAGAATATTCAGACTAAAGAAGGAACGAATTGGAACAGTCTTTACTGAATTGTCGATTTTTATTGATGTAAATGCTATGTACACATATGTTTTAAGAAAAAAAGTAATATCGCGAAAATCCTCATTGTAATTTGTACATGACTTGTAATTAACAACTTTGAGTAGTTTTTTTAAAAGTTAATATTACGTACTTAGACGCTCTGTAGTTTAGTTAGCGCGACATTAAAAGCATGTGCTTTCAATGGCTGTCTGGCCTTTTAAAATATTTTTTGATGAAATTAGATTAAAATAACAGCAGTTTTTGTTTGTGAGAACATATGTGGAGCAATGTCTTGCCTCGTAACGGGATACTCATTGGAGTAGCATTACGATATTAAAAAGTTACAAATAGGCTGAGACTGCACATTAATTCATGGTAACTGTTTTCTTGGTTTGAGTTGTGCATAGAGTTGCAGGCTAAGTCGGGTCTTATATTTGTTGATGATCAGTGGTTGATGAATTGTGATGGCGTGGTTTAAAATAGATAACACTAACTAAACGCGTTCACAAATTTTGGGTGTTTTTTTAACAACTCACTTGTCAGTTTTTACTTTACTGTCTCTGAATATATTCTGAATTTCTTCTGTGCTGTTTTAAATTGTGATAACCTAAACTGTTGAAATCTGTATACAATTCGACTCAGTTGTAAGCACTTTAACTTGTTTAACTATCAAAATTGATTGTACCTAGTTCCTGTAAAATAACCGATAAATATTTCATGTTGGGGAAATGGTAGAGTTTCTAGATACCTAATCCTTGTTAGAGAAAATAGGCAAGAAAATGGAGGGAAAAAGTGACATTATTTGTGGTGTATAATTCGTCGATATTAATTGGTGTATTAGTGTTATAGTCCGAAGGAGGGAGATCTGTCAGTTAGTCAGCTACAACGCAGGACCAGGCACGCATATGCATCGGTCCAGGTTGCCATACCTCATTAACACAACAAGATGGACACCGGATTCATAAAAGTAGTTAATTCAGTGGTAGTAATATATAAAAGAAGGATTGCAATAAGGATATAGTACAGGAAGAAAGATTTAGTGCGTAGATAGGAAGATATAAAGTAATTTTAGTCTCATAGTTTAACGGAAAACAGAGAGTGTATACACCGACACCATTGTGATAGATTCTGAGCCATGTCACCCAGAGTCCCCAACCAAATAGTCTGCATCTTCCAACATGGCTAAGACTAGAAGTTAGTGACTTCAAGCACTGATGTCACGTTTTGGTTTGGCCACCCCTAACCTTCTTCCGACCTTCACCAACACTAATCAGCATTGCGCGTCGTGGTAATTGGAGTTCAAGGGGTTCTGACATTAGATTTATTTCTTCAAGGTTGTATTTTAATATTTTGTCAATCGATCAACAGAATAAGTAGTTTTAACAGTTAGAGAGCAAAAAGGTTTGCGGAATACAATAAACCAATTCTATTTCATGACCCATCAGATCCAAGCGGCCTAAAATTACAACAAACACCATAATTACAAATAAAGATTTAACATACTTTAATCAGTGAAATTTAGATTTGTGTTTCTTATGAAAAACCAAAACTCATGAAAAGAACGGGTTACGGAATATATAGTTAGAATTGGTGCGTATTTATGTTAAAAATGTCAATAATAATAGTATTGAATAAGGGGATAATATTACGGATAATAATCACTTGTGAGAAAAAGAAGATTACATTTTTAGAACTCAACTCAAATTAATATGTGAGCATCAATAAGATTATGTGACAGACAAAAACGGGGTTAAGCGGCAAATAAGGTTATAAAACGTTGTTTGATCACAATCATAGTTACCATAGTCAACGATGGTTTCATCACTTTATTTCTTAACCCAGGTCAGTTTGGGAGCGTTTGATAGCAGTTGCTTCAGCAAAGCGGCGTAAAATCGATATCGTTTGTTTCTTAATCATTTTAGATGCGTAACTGGTATTGACTCCGTGTCCACTCTTCATTAAGTGCATCGGTATTGCACATGTGAAGGCTTTATTGCTTCTTAAGCATCGGCTTTTCTGAATGTATTCAAGAAACGTGGTAGAAGCCTTTCTCTGGGTCCTTCTAGACATACTTGCCACCACAGATATGTATAAATTCATGTATGCCCCCCAAATGCCCTGGTACGGCCGAGAGTGGGGAGAGCCAGCTCTGCCTCCCGAAATGCTCTTACATGTCCACGTGCATACAACCACTACTAGGGATGTCCTACTCACCGTCTTTTCGCGCGGGGGTGTTTCTTACGAAATTGAGAGGACGAAAAGCGAATGTCCGGCGCTCTAACCGGGTTGGCGGACACGAAAAGTCCATCTAGAAGAGTTGGAAAACCCTGATTCCAAACCGATAATGCACATGGGCTCCAGTAGCCTGAAGGAACAAATGGCGCATGAACCAATTATTGGTCACCGGCTACCATGGGACTGCATCTTCTGACGTTGATCCACTGCCTTGTGGATTAGACCTTTAGGTCAAATGCTGCGGATGTAGCCCCCTAAGAAAACCACCTACTTCGGTTTGGGCACCCGGGCAGTATTCTAGCTCTCACACAAATCCAATGGTTTATGTAGCGCATACCTGTTTGGTACCTCCATGTACCAATGTCTATGTGTTTAAATAAAAAATAATGCTATGAGAAGTGACATCGAAAGGGTATTTATCTGTCTTAAAGTAACTTAGTAGACGTTTGGTATTGTAGTGAAATCAGTTGGACTGTAATAAAGCTTTTCAGTCCCGCTTTAATTAGTCTCTAAGCTCTTCCTGAAATCTCATCTCCAACAGGATATAGATAGGGATAGGCTTATTACAAGTAGTTGGTTCATAATGTACAGGATGCTCCTTTCCATATTTCCCGATAAATTTCTTTGGGCGTCCATTTTTTTCAACGTTCTTTTCGATGATTGTCGATTTGTCCGTAATTTTGTTGTTTGGGCATCTCATTTTAGCTTTGTTAAAATGCGTTTTGACTTGACACGCAAATACTATCTATTCACACGACTCCCTGCACATCATTAGTTAAGTGAAGCTAATTGAATGGGTGAAAAAGATTACAAGGCATATTGAACTAGGTTAACTTTGTTAGTTGAACGGGATTTCCAATACGCGATTTGTATTATTTTGTTAACTTTGCTAAAACCGAACATCTGTATTTGCATTGCTAATAACATTCCAAGAAACGATTCACTTAATAAGCACTAACAATTTCTCAACTTTTATTTACAAAATAAAGGATCTGAATGCTCATTTAGACGACCTGACTACTGCTGAGTCATATCAGATGCGTTTACAAGTATTGCGATCGTTGTTACAGTTAACTACAGCTTTAGAACAAAAATGGATTATACGTCTTATTGTCAAACGAGATTCTGGTTGTGGCCTAAGCGGGAAGAGTATTCTCAAATGCTTTCATCCAGCTGCGGTCTCTGTTTTCGAAGTCACACAAGTTAGTTTTCTGCGTAACTGTCCATGAAAATAGTTGTTGATAATTTGTAGTTTCCTATTATTATTGCTATTAATGTTTTCTTCTATCTTTCATTCACACCTTTATCTAGAAATATATGTTGTAAAATATGTACAGCTGAACGTTAAGTCGTAACCTACCAGTTTCAATCTGTTATGAGCACAATACAATTACCAAAACTCACCAACAGGATACCACAACGTTGTGGCTGAGCAATAATTGTTCTCGAGACTAGATCTTTTGATTTGTAACGTTTACTGAACAACTGACTATCCAACCACAATCGCATTTTTCTAATGCAGTGAAATATTTTCTTAACTAAGACAAAAGAAAAATGGTTAGATGTTACACAACATAAGGCTTGTTGGCTGACGTGGAATGATATTTAAGGGCCACTAAATAATTAATAGATTTATGATTTCGGGTAATGGTCTGTTTTCTGTTGTTAAAACGCAGTCGCACCAACTAAAACCAAGTTTGACCAAGTACAACACAATATGAAGGAACCCTGTTTTTCTGGTTTGTAGCTTAAATCAACGGTACATCGGAATAAATGTAGCTTACAATGAATCGTTTATATCATATGAATCTAACAATATTACGTAAATGCGTTAGAATTTTTATTATTAGTTGAGTGATTCGAAAACTATTTATTTAGATGAGTAAGTGTAGTGCTCGATGATTCATATTCTATGACATCTTGTCAACTTGTCTTTTCACAAAGGTTATGTATACATAATCGTTTTTAATACTAATTATCAATCCCTCTTCCTGTGTTCTAAGGCTTATTACTTTTGTAGGCACTGTAATGCTCTGTGATGAGCTACAAATTATCTATAAATGTAGGCATTTATTTGAGAAAAAGTTCTGATTTGGAGACTTGTCAAGTGGAGTAGTGTCCAAAAATACTAAGCAACAAGAGTGGTTGGGTCTTATTAAGAGAAACCATAACACCTGTGAACCAAAGTAATATTAAATTAAGGTAGTGAGTTGGTCTTGTAGGTAATAAAATTAGTAATCTCTAATGATTGTTTAATTTTGATCTGATCATAACCGAGATGTTCTACTAACTTCAGTGACTGTCATGTCAGGATGTTAAAATATATTAATAGATGTATTGTTCGATATTTTAATTGTCAAACTTCATTCATTTTGTTTGTAGATAAATTAGTTTTCACCGATTTATTTATTTTCATTTTTTCCAGGATCTTCTCCCGCTATGTGAACGAATTGCAAATATACCTTCTTCCAACATATCTATGTTGACAGGACTTGCTAACGATCTAAGCAACTCAGTCAATGTCACTCTTTTTGTTCCATTTCGTCCCATGTTATGCGAGCGGGCTAATAGTGGTGATATGCTAGTTAACGCAGCACTACATTTGTACGGTAAACAGAACCAAGGTGATACTAAAGGATTAAAACTTCTTTTCGAAACGAAATTCGATGGAGAACGAGTTCAAGTTAGTAATCATATATATCTTTATATTACTTATTGTGGAATGCCAGTGAAAATGTATTTTACTGTGACAAACTATGATATATGTCGTTCTAAGTATATAAATATATTTTCATGTAGCTTCTAATGTGATGATACGTACAACTATTTCTTAAAGGATTTTGGCCCATTAATCTGCTTCAATTTCAACAATCAGAAAGTATTGATAACGTACACATAGTGTAATCTTGCACATCCTGATTAAATAATGTTTTCGTGATTTTTAAGTTATGTTTTTAAAAAAATGTCAAAAATTGTATAATATACCCTTCTTAATGTAGTGTAACATTTTAGTCTGCTGTTTTCTGATGTATTGTTCCCCATAAATATCGAAACACAATCTCTTAATCATCGTTTCTCTTCATGGATAGGATGATTAGAAAAAGTTCATTCTAGAAACAAAAAGAAATGAATTGATGAAACATAAATAAATCCACTTATAGATGATAAGTGTTTTGTCATAAGTATAGAAGCATAGACAAGTTTCTAATTTGTCAAATATGACTTGCTTTTCTCTAGCAACATAGTTTTCGATTCTCTTATTTCATCTTTTTCATTTTTCACTGTATTTTTCTCATACTTAGATTTCTATCATAATTTTTATTATATCCTCTTTGCTAATTTACATCTAATTAATTTCCTCTTCTCTACTTCTACTGATGTTGAGATGTAGGAATTAAGACTATTGATACATATTTTTGTTGTGCTTTTTCTGTGTTTTTGTTGATAGATTTAAATTGAAAAGTAAAAGATATTTAAAAATTTTTCCTTCCCGAAATTAGGTTCATAAATCAAGTAATTCTTATCGATATTGGTCAAGAAATGGTTTAGAATGGACAGCAAGCTATGGTGAAGATGGTACTCGAGATTTTGACAGATTATCTGCTCAATTACATTGTGGATTTGCACAGCATGTAACTGATTGTATTCTAGATGGAGAAATGATGATATTTAGTAATTGGTCAAAGTCAATTAGGTCAAAATCAACAAAATTCGATGTAAAACGAAGTTCTTATCAAAATCCAGAAATCGATAATTATCAACCGTGTTTCATTGTTTTCGATATACTTTATTTGAATTCACAAGTATGTTTACCATATGTATATCATATTAATGGTAATAATGCCAATACTTCAGACTGATTTAAGATTTTTAGTAAATTAGTGGGCAGTCTGCACTAATAGTACATAACTTTTTCATGGTCATGTGCAACTTTATTTATTTCTAATCCATGAGCATATGTGAAACAACTTTATACATACGGGAAAGGTGTTTGAAATTATCGTTGTGATTTAAGTTTCCTGCAGTTGTGCTCAAGGCGATAAACATCTAAGCAACCTGTTAGTTCATAATCTATCATAATTCGATTGATGATACAGCTCTGTTGAATTATTATAATAACAGAAAAGCCTAACCACCGCATTATGCTATCAAAAGCAGTTAGATGTGTTGCTTTTAATTCTATTGTATAGATTCAGGACATCTGTATAGAAGCATTTCAAATATCCAGGGCTTTAAATCTTATTTTAGATATCATAAATAACATTCAGTGAATTAAGCATAAAAGTAAATATCATATATAGGGAGATCTATTAATTTGTTATTCATAAATAGTTAGAAGTTTTGTCGACAACTATTTAGCTTGTTGTTTGTGACTATTTCAGTAACAGACAACTCTGAATTTATTGGACAAAGAAAAAAGTGTGTGAACATTATAGCACCAAATAGTTAAACAGACATATTGCTACCATAAAGCCATTACTTTCAGTTAACTTATGGGATATCTATATGCTCACTCGATCCTTACATTTATTGGTCACAGATTTGGATTTACTTTATCCACTACAGTATAAGGAATCAGGTAATGTAATTCTTTACGTAATGAGAGGAAATCGTGTTCTATTCCATGAATCTACAATCTGGAATTTTTAAATATCTTTTTTTACGTGGTATATTCGACTAGTGCAAATGATCATACTTTAGGGTGTTCTGGCCTTCGAGAATTGTTATAAGCTTGTATAATTTGAGTGTTCTGGTAACTTCCAACTCGATCATAACTACCTATTTGCTAACTACGATATATTTTTATTGGTACTAGGTATTGTTTACCCGTTTTACATGTTTAACAGTTTTTTTCAATCTTATGTATTATTTGATAACTTTTTTTTACTCCCTCAAGTTATTAACTTCAAAGTCCTTACTGGAGCGTAAACATCTTCTATCAGAGGCATTTAATTTGAATTCCACATCATTGGATACTGACTTGTTTATGGATAGTGATGAATCATTAGATTTCAAACCAATCCCTATTATAGATGGTATTATATACGTTTCCAAATGGTATACTGCCTCAGCACATCAGACAGAAGTTGCAAGAGCTTTTAATCATCTTGTGAATGATCATCAAGAGGGTCTTATAGTGAAAATAGCTGATTCTCCATCTCCTTATCTGCCTGGTATTAGAACTGATAGTGGCTGGTGGAAAATTAAACCAGATTATATACAGGGTTTATTAGAAGACTTAGATTGTATAATTGTCGGTGGTTATTTTCATCATCGTGGGAATAAGATAATAACAAGAGTTAACCATTTTTTATGTGCTGTTCGGGGTGATGAATCTACTTCAGAAGATAATTTCAATCGAACACGGTTTTATACATTTTGCAAGGTACGCTTTCTCTTTAAATTTTTAAGTTATTCAACACCTTATATAACGATTAGAGTATATTAGTCCCCATGTCTACTTTTTTTTGAGGATGCGCTAGAACCATCTAGTAGTCGATTTATTCAAATCACATAATTCAGGTTTGAGTATAGTAAACAAATCGTTAACAGTTGGGTTTCACTATATGTAAACTACTAAGCTGTTAGCATTACTTCTTATAATTGATTGCTATTATTAATCTGGGATTCGACAGAATTGTTCAAATGTTTAGGATGATTGAAAACCATCCACATTAAAAAAGTCTTCTAGTTGTATTTCATTTTATTAATCCCTCTTGGAACTATTAACATTCATATATATACTGTTGTATATACCACTCAACAAGGAATACCTGTAAAAAAGATTGTTTTATTATTTATGTAAATAACTTTTTCTTACGTGAACGCGTCCATGGTTTAATAAATGAGTTGATTCAAACCTCATGAAATAGGAATACAGTAGTGAAAAACAAATCTGCAAATAAATAATTAATTCAGTTCTTTGGAATCCCCACATTAATTAGGAATACCGTGTTTGTTTGGATTCTGTTCACATATATTATAAGCTTACGACGAGCTATCAGTAAATTCAACTGCCTATTTCAATATCGTTTCAGTTAAAATTGATACATAATACGATATTTAGCCGTTAGTTTATATCTGACCCGCACGTAAATTGTTGTGTGAAGAGTGTAGAAAGAAATGTGTGTAGTTTTTGTGGTTGTAGTTTATTCAACTATCTTGAAAATCCGATAATAATCCCTTTTTGTTTATAATTATTAAAGAAGGGGTACCGATTACTGAGAGTTCTTGTGGTTGTATTGTATTCAAGTCTACTAACGACTTTACTTGGATGTTGTTGGTAGCAGACTATCATTTGAATTGGCTACATCATATGGTAACATATCCATCTGTCTATGAAAGAGCGTGTCGAGCAGTCGACACTATATTAATTTATGGGAAACATGGTATTTGGAAGTAATGTGCTCATATTAATAATTTCTGGTCATCATTGTCTTCAAACCATTGTTCTCCTGATTGATGCTATTAGAAATATATTGCTGGGTGGAAATGGCGAATCAGTTGGTGAGGTTATGAGTTTGCGTGAGCTGATGTTGTTACGGTATGTCTTAAACGTGCCTTCCTCGAAGCGCGATATTGGCTAGCATAAATAGAAGGCTGAGAGATATGTAAGGATGGTCAAGCAAAGGCCCAAAATAAGTTGACGAATTCGATGACTGTTCGAAACTATATTTAGCCGCGCAAGATCCCTGGTTAGGATCTACTTGATAGTCGGGCTGATAAGCTAAAGGTTTCTAGTGGGGCATCTCAGAATCGGTTTCAGCGACGCAAATGCATTCATTCTTTATTTTTCTCTACAAATTTATATTTGATATTATCGCGTTCTTTCTATTCTGAAAATTCATCCCTTTTTCGAATTGAATTCTATGTATTCATTTCACCTTACTGTGGAAGAAACTATCATTCAACTCTTGCGGTATTTTTTTCTCATCGGTGTGCTAATGTTATTGTTTCACCATCAATTCCATCCAAATCATTTACACATATACTTGGACGCTTATTTTGTGATTTAAGATATTTTTCTTTCGTTGTTGTTTTCTGATAGCTGATTCAGTAATAATGTATGAACTTGATGTAATCTATATTTAAATATTTGTCTAGTTATTGAAAGTGGTGAGAAAATAGCCGGGCAAGTTTACTTTGATGTACAAATGTTCTTACAGCTTGTGTTTATAAATATATCCATCTCAACAAAATATGATTATCATAAGCAGACATTCCAGTGTTTATCTTTTTTCTGGTTGATCAATCATTTTTTGATTTCATCTGACCACTGTTATATATTGCCTCACTTTTTATTGCTTCATCGTAAGGTTTTCAATATTTTTCGTGGTTAGTACTGGGCAACAGAACTAAAAACTAACCATCAATTATCAGTTTTATTCAATGTATTTTTTGACAAGGTTAAATCTGGGCTAACAGTTAAACAATTGAAAGAAATCAACAAGTTGTTAGGAAAACATTGGAAGGTGTACGATAAGAAACATCCTAACTCTAGTTCTACTGAATGGTTGTGTGTGAATTCTGAACGCCCAGATGTATGGATAGCTCCACAATCATCGCTTGTTTTACAGGTTAGTCATCGACTTCATCTCATACTTCATTCCTTCGGATTCATAAATTTGATAGTCACATAAAGTATTTTTCACTTAGTACTGAATACTAAAATCGGACCTGTTTGTTTACTGTGATGTACTAGATTAAAAGGGGCTGGTTTATGAGCATTTTGATTTAAGCTTTTTCTTCATTAATTCATATCTTTCAGATATGAAGAGTTGAAGCAGAATCACACGGTGTGTCACAATTCCGGTTCTGGTTGATATCAATTTTTTGAGCATCATTGCACTCAGTCTTAATGACTGTTTGTTTTTTGTTTTCCTCTAAACTTTTAAACTGGAAAATTTTTTACAATCTTCTATGTTAATAATTACTCATTGTTTTTCTATTTGTATTAAAGTCTGTTAGTTTTAATATCTTACTTGAAGAATTTCGACAAAACGGAAATGCACATACCTGTATGAGGGACTTCATTTTCTATAACCTTTGGGAACTAAACGTTTATAGTACTAATTCTTTGTGACCTGCTTCAAAACTTACAGCACTTTAGATCACTTGAACTGCGTGCAGTTATTAGTACAAACAAATAGTTTAAACTCAGATAAAATTGCATTGTCTAGTGCGTACGTAAAGTGGCACCTTAAAATTTCTGTATTAGAGCAAACTACTTTTATTTGCTTCAAGAGAGTCTGTTAATTTTTTAGCACTATATATATTAAAAAACTAATTTATTTAGTTGTAGTTTTGTCGAGAGTCGGTTTAATTTCTAGGTTTCATTCGTTATGGACCGATCTCGGTTGGGGATTCTATTAACAAACATGAGTTACTGGATAACTGTCTGTGATAAATAGAACCTACAAATCTAAAAAAAATCGTCCAACTAAACCACAATAGCAACTCGCTAATGACTTCAAATATTTTTAGTTTCTGGTAGAAGTCTTGACTAATGGAGTTCAGATACTCCGAAAGCGAAACAGCTGTTACTGGCGGCATCGGAAAATCGTCATGCTCGTCCATAAAGTGATTGATGTCGGACATTAACCCAGTAGTTCCAATGGTTAAGCGTCCACTGTGAGACCTGGATATCCTGGGTTCGGTTTCCGGTGGGGTCGTGCGTCTGGACCCCTTGAAAGCCCCATCCGAGGACGAAACAATTGTTAAATATTCTTTGCTTTCCAGTCGTATGTCAAGTGAGATCAATCTGTGACGAATACAACCTACTAATTTGCTTCTCATGAAGATTTTTATAAATAACCCTAAATGTAAATAAAGTAAAGTTAATCTACATTTATTTTTTGTATTCAAATATATTTTATTGCTTATTTTGATCGACTACAGCTTCATGGAGCTGAGTTAATCCAGAGTGATTCATATTCTTGTGGAATGACTCTTCGATTTCCTCGTGTGGTGGCTATACGTTATGATAAAAATTGGTGTGATTCTCTGTCAATGAGTGAATTAATTAAGCTAAATACTGAGACAGAGGTAATTAATCCGAGTTATGTGTAATTTTGTTAATGGTTTTAGCTTTTTTTTTAAAAAGTAATAAATGTTTCCTTGCCATGTCACATAATTTTTTCGTTCATATAGTTAATTGATTAATTTCAGCTTGTCTCACCATCTGCAAAATTAACCGAAATTCATTTCTTTCCGAAAGATTCCTGTAAAGCATTTAGAAACAAAGTTTAAGTGAACACTTTTTTTCAAGCATTTCCTCTCTAGTCTACACAGTATAATATGGATAAATCAATGAGTCCATCCTTAATTTGTTATATCAGTCATGGTTTAGTTGAGAATATGACATGCAATTCAATATTACCTGAAAAATATGCATTATTGAAATATAAAGTTAGTAAAGAAAAATAAACTAAAGTGAACATATTATTTTTGTGCACAAAGATTAAACTTGAATTGATGAATAGACAGAGCCTCTGTTGTTGGTGTTTCATTTTCATTTTCCTTAAATCAACTCTATTGACTATATGGATGATTTTGAAGGATTCTGGTCATACAATGTAACCACAATTTACGAGATCTTCTAGAATTGAGCTATTGTCTGACTTATGCAGTTATTTTAATCTCCAGGTAGGGTAATGAACAGAGATGTGTTTCAAAAGAGCTCACGTTATCTGACGAGCATAACCTGTTACATAAGAACAAGTAAACTCGTATTTTTTCAACTAGATTCCCAGTTTGAATGCTTCATCTACCAGACAACAAACCTTATTTCTATTTCTAATAAACAACTTGGATAACTCAAAGCAACTATTGTAAATTGTCGTGAATCGATACCAATACAAGGTCAACAATTAGCTTATCCTATAATGCTACTACTAAATATCTTGCCGAAATTTCATAATTGATCGAAAATTGGCTCAACAGATACATTATGGTTGATGCGTTTGATCTCGGTCATTCAATATCCATCACAGCGTAAGCGGAATGACATAATCTCATCGGATGTTACGTCTTAATAAATGTCCCATTCGTAAAACACAGTTGTGATTATTTTAAAAACAACAAGCCACATATTAGTGTTCCGAAACACATTGAATATTCAATCAATAAAATCAAATGAGCTAACCGTGATTTATATAATGGGCTCAATCGATCAAGTAGCCGTAAGGTAACGGTTGAAGCAGCTGAAAAATCCCTTGACTCAGGTTTCGTGTTATTTAGCACTCGTCAGAAAGGTGTATCTGTAATATTGAGTAGACAGATGCTTCCTGATGGATTCGATCCTGTGTCACCCAGCTTCACAGTCAGAGGCGTTGCCAGTGTATTATCCGGGCAGCAACTGACTTCCAGTAGGACTGAGATGTATTTACAATTGATTGATTGTCGTACACTGACTATGTCTTCACTTTGATTAGGAGTTACTCAATGATATTTGAACTTCTATTTAAATTCAATTTTTCATATCTTATCAATATATCTGTTATATCTTGTGACCGCCGATTAACGCGCAGTGAATTATCGATCGCAACAATGACGCGTAAACCCGCATCAGCAGCCTAGAGTTCTGATTGACCCTGCTTTCCGCTTAGCCCAGCCAGTTAGATCCAAAACACAAGTCTAAGCCTCTGCGATATGAATCATGTATTTCAAACATACTCGGTTTATATTATCAACCAGACAGACCACAACGTACCATAAAATAGAAAATAACATTTGTACAATATTTGGCCAACAGGAAAATGACACGTGAAATAAATATTGACCAGTAGGAAAATGATACCATTTCAAGTCCAAGGATAGCATTAGACTTAACAGGATAATTTTTGGGATATTTTTCTAAATATCCCAACAATATCTTTAACATTTATGAATTTTTTCATTTTCTGATTATTAGGGTAAATTAGCCACAAAGCGATTGTCAATCGTGCCAACATTTTCTGGACTTGCAGATGTCCAACATCAACACTCCTTTCCAGATATAAGTAATTTGAATAATAGTTGTTCAAACACAAATCAAAGTAGTGGGTATCATACATTAAATGAAACCACAGAACAACAGACAACTGAATTGTTTATAAATATTGATGAACCTTTAGCAACATCTTCACCTATTAAACAACGTAAAATTGATATTTATCATGAACATGTATGTTTTTTTTTAAATTGGATACTCAGCGTTATTATTTTATGTGTACTTTATGGTGTTTTTTCATCGTCTCTAACTCGTCCAATTTCTTGACCCTTTTTCTAAAATGAATATTGTCAGTATTCCTTAACTATTTTAACATTAAGTGATGTTCACTGGAATGTCGAGTAACAATAGAGCGGGGTTATTTTAGACTAGGTAACATGAATTTATTTAGTAACCATTGTGTGAATGTAAGTACACTGTTGAAAAATATTATAATTGACATAATGGAACTGAATAATAGTTTATAGATTTTTACGGTTTATTTAAATGCATCGTGAATAAATTAGGATCAATTGAAGTAGGTTCAAAAAAAGAAAAAAAGAGCAGTTGATTTAATTTACCAGTATACACAAAGTGACTATATTTTCTTGTTGAATATGTCCACAACTTCATTGATCGATAATCACTTAGTGAATGTGTTCTCTGAGCATGTATGATAACACTTAAGAACAAGGACAAAATGTATTCTGTCACTAGTTGTTGAACATTAGGAGTTAAGAATTGTGTTCTATTTAACTATGTCAACATGAATCTGTTATCAGGAGTCGTTTAAAAATTCTCGACTGAATTATTTACTCTATGATTTCTGTTTGTATGTGATTCATCACCTGGTTATAATTTATAGTTGAAATCAAGCTTTTGAAATATCGATATAAGAAACTAGTGTCGCTTTCTATTTTGTTTTACTTACCTTATAAATTCTATCACTGCAATTTAAATCTGTTACCAGTTTTGACCTTTCTCCATGTAATTAGCTTTGAGTAACCAAATTATGTCGATTGCTTTCATGAACTACTTTTAACTTTCAGTTTATAACATGGTGTTGTTTATCTAGTCACCAAATTTCATAGTATGCTATTGTTTGAAAAAATGTTTTAAGCGAGTCCAACTTTTAGATAAAATAGTACCCCACAACATGTACTTCGTAGTATATATTGCCTATTGTTAACTAACTTCCTTGAATAGTATAAAGAATTATGTATAACAAATGAATCATTATTATTTTTTTTAGTTAAACTATTTTGAAAATCATGAAATATGCCTTTGGTTATCAAATGATATTGAATTGAATAAAAAAATAGAATATGAAACTATTATCCGTCACTATGGTGGTGTTGTTGTACAAAATCCATCTGAAAGTACTTTTTGTATTGTTGTTGATAAACTTACATTAAAGGTAAAGGTGAAATATGTTTTCAATTTGTAAACATTTTTAGTTTTAATTTAGCCTATTGAATATCTAATTTTTCTATTGATAACTAAATAAATGGTCAATGAGTGGAAAAATTAGATTTTCTGATGTTTCGTGACTCAGTGTAAGCCACCTCTTCAGAGAATAAGCATTCAAATTAAATTAATCCAAGTTTAAATAGTACAAACGAACAAAACAAGAGTATTAGATGCGATCAATCATAAACAGGTCTGACTTGGTCAGAATATTTAGTTTTTTTATTGGCAACTTAAAAAAATGAACGGCTAGTTTAATAAAGCTTTTTTCATAGTTTATTCCCCTAGTACTTGTCTAAAAATCGTTGATTTGAAATTGAAATTCATCGATAAGGAGATTTTCGGTTTACTGACTAGAAATTATTTGGAATATTGTATCAGAGTTATGTTTTCATCTAGTTACGTAAGCAAATATTCTTACTGGATTATTCAGTTTTTATATCTGTTTACCAATCTAGTTTTCCTTTTTATGTACACTATGTTTTGTGGTTGACTTTCTTCATTACTCCGTGAACGAGTTAAATGAAATCATTTAATGTATTCTCTTAACCAAATACAAAATCTACCAACTCGAATTTTCCTGAAAATAGGATGAAATCTGTAAACACTTTCGGAATATACGTTATTATTATTATTCCAAGTCTATACACCCGAGATGTCATTAGTATTATTTTGTGATAACTAGGGATACCGTCATACTGCCCAGAGCAAGATCCATGAATCTGGTCTTTAATCTGCAAAACCAGTGCCTGGAAGCACTGTGATCATTAAAGAACTACTGTACTTATTACTCATATTATATTTTCACTATTAAAGTTCTTAAAGTTGTTTTTCATGAATTCTAATTACATTTTATTACTTCAGACAAAAAATTTACTAAACTATTCCAGTACTTCAAAAAAACGCTCTTCATCTATTGAATACAATGTAGTTCACTTGAACTGGTTACTTGCTTGCATCAATAAGAAATCTCTGTTAGCATGGAAACCAAAAGATATGTTTGCAATGAATTCATCTGTCGCTGCTAAAATGGCACAAGAATATGACAAATTTGGTGATAGTTATAGTGAGCCTATTACATCTGATGAATTGAAATTAATCTTTAATGATATTTCATGCTTTGGATCAGTTACAGAAGAGAAGAGGGATATACCAAAGTTAACAGTAAGTTGATTGACTTCTTTTTTCACTTTACTTCATTTAAGTAAACTATAATTATGTCCAGGCAACTACTTATTGGACTTAATAGTTGCTTTAATACTATTCTACATAATCCAGCACACTTTATAGGATGATTCAATGCTGAATACACGTTGTAGTGTGAATAAATATTGTACTCATATAGATGTCAAGTTAATCTATGACTATTTATCATTCAGTCCTCGGCAGATGGAGGACCACTTCACTTCTATCTGAAGTTTATGCTGATGATGTCGTTCAGAAGAACGATGAAAACTCCACAACTAAACCATCCAGCTCAGGGAACAAAACTCCATCAAAATCATCGTCACATCTAGTTATCTTCCTATCTGCATCTAAAAGGTAGCCAAAATGTAAAAAAATCCACAGAATAATGTATGTTCTATAAATTCAGTAGTATTTAGTAGTACTTACTGTTCAAGCGACAAAGGTTATATTGTGTGACAATTCGTTAACTTGTGATAAATAATACTTACTGGATGATTAAGTATCAACGAAGCTTTAGAAAACAATCATTGTTACCATTTTGTTTGACTAGTTTTTAGAAATATTTGCCGAGAATATCGTTTATTTAGTTATCCTGCACTACGTATTATTTTTTAAAGCCAATTCTTATGTTCCAAACAATGCACTCAAGAGATGAAACAATGATAAATAGAGCTATATTAGAGTTATGATAATAGTCTAACGTCACTTGTAGATTTTCAAATATTCTGATTTTAGTGAATCTATCCACTAGGAACTTTTAAGTGAGTTATAGTTCTAGAGTACAACACCCATCTTTTAATTGAGCTGTTTTTATTATTAAAGTTCTGTTTTGTTATGAGTAAGTATTGTGATACTTTTCTAATGATTTATATCGTTCAATAAATATGTATGTTCTCACAATTTAGATCAGAAACTAAACTTTGTTAGACCACCATTGAAAACCTAGAAGGACTGAACTTCTGTGTCGTCCTAGTATAGTCTATCAATGACTTTAGATTCTTTTCTACAGTTATATGTCACTTTGTTTAAGCTATCTATTATCACTATTTCAAATTCATTTTGGATTGTCTCATCATTATTCGAACAATATTCTTCTTATTATTTTCTTCAGGTTCCAAAACTCACTCATTATTCAAAGTTAAAACTTTTATTAGACGAATTTCCAAATGATATGGAAGTGTTACATCCTTTGACGGGTTATATTCTAGTACTTATACGTCCATTGTTCAGTTTAGAAAATGATGAAAAGAAGACTGTACTGACTAGTTTGGAAATTCATCAACAATTAATGATTATTGATCTACGTAGACTTGGTTCAATGTGTATAGGACCTATTGGTATTTATAAACTGGAGTCTGTATCTAATTTACAGTCTTTGTTGAATATGACCTATCATAATTTTTTATCTGTCGATTCACATACGAATGATTGTATGCGATCATTATGTAATAATTGTATCAATCCAACGCATGTTGTAGTGGTAAATTACCAATATTTATTGTTCTGTGACTTTTTTTTAATGATTAGGTGTTTTATTACAAAACTGTTTATTGGTTTAAAAAAAATCCCAAGTTGATTATTATTATGAACAAATACTGGGCGAAATCAGTTGTGTAAATAAGTAGTCAAGGAGTTGATTATTAAATCCTGACTGATTGTACATAACAATATGGAATTACTAACACAATACTTGATTGATATTCCTAATTGAAGAAAATTCGCTCATGCGATTAGCAGTGCAATTCATGCAACGTAACGTTAAGTTCCTTATTGAGTAAAAATGAGTTAATCATGGGTGTAAATGCAAAGCTGCACAGTATCCAATAAAGACTAAAAATCCGGTTATAAGATTCTTTGAATGTACACTAACTGGGTTTATCGTAATTCTCTAACAATGTGCCATTGGAAGCGTCAAGATGATTAGTAATCGATTTCATGAAGCAATCATTAGTGTTAACTGAAATCGATATAGTTTAATAGTATTATAGTGAACAGAACATGGGTGGGGTCAATCGAATGTATTTAACACAAAATCACAGGACTTGTTAATAAAATCTAACAATCATAAAGTAAATGCTTAATTTGCAAAATGCCCACCAATTGTCTCAAAATGCTTCCTGTTTCCATTCTTTACTGTTCGATCTCCTTGTCTCTCTGCTGCCAGACCTGTTCATGACTAACATCATATACTACTTATGTCAATATAAGTAGCACACACCACAGTATTATATCCGATTATCCACTTATTATTTGATATATATATCGTGTGCTCGGATTGACATCATTTTATTTAGCTTATGTTTTTCATGAGATGTTTAAAATACTCAACTAAATGTTTATCCTTTTTTTCCAACACGTAGTTATCGTCTTCCCAAGAAAAAGAGTTTAATATTTGGTTAAACGAGAATTATTCAACATTAAACTCTTGGATTCGTCAATTTCCTCGTATACCACATTTCATTAAAGATAGTTGGTTAACTGAATGCATTATGCAAAGCAATTGGTGTTCAGAATTGAATCATTTGATTGAAATGAATTAAATTCATCATTCTTTCATGCTGTTCATCCAGCTTTTGAAGTGAAACGGTAGTTTAGTGGCTAGACCACTTGTCTTCCATCCGAATAGGTCACAGACTCAAATTTCACCTCACCCTTACTTCGATTTGAGCAGGCATGTAGTGTCATTAATCCTTACATAAATTATATCGGGCTCAAGGCTGGTGAGTACATCAACTTGTACATGATAAATGAGCTCTATTGTTATCTGTATTGTATATTATTATTTACTTTGATTGCAATACTCCGTAAAGAAAAAAATGATCGAATACTTCACATAATCTACAGCTGAATTTTTTTATTGATAATGTCAATATTCTTTTCTTCAAACTTATTTATCTTTGAAAGCCCTTATTCTTTCTATTTCTCCACTTCTATGAATTGATCATTATTAATCATCATTATTTGTGCAACTAGTTTCTAATTCTCTTTTTTCATTATTTTTAAATATAATACCAGTTTATTTTTGTATAATTTTGTTTTATCAATCTGTGATAATTGGAAAAAATACAACATTATGTTTTCTCTGATGTTGTTGTTGTTGTGGCCGTCATCATCGTCGTCATCACTGTTTCTAAACTTTAATGTGTTTAAATTTGAATTTTCACTGAATGAAAAACAACACCAAACAAACAGCAATATTAGTTTAGCATTAGTTCAAACTCATTCGGTTCGAGTAGTTTTTTCTATCTATTGGGAAGGAGGATAAATTTAAGATCGCTATGTTAACAATAGACATGACTATTCAGTGGGAAAATAGGTTTTTTAGTTATTTTAGAAAAGTAACCTGTATTGTATATAGAGTATAAAAACTATTCATCAAGGAATTTATCACTTTTTTTTCAAGAAATTTCGAAGGTTTATTATTTCTTTACTAGTTGGTGTGGTTATAGTTTGTTCTAAATTACTCAGTAAAAACATAATTATCACACCCATCTTCATATATTCTTACATTAGGAATCCTAATATTTAGTCTTTTGCCCACACAGTAATTCGAAGGATGGACCAATGTCAGTCAACGAGGTGACGGTATTTTTAATCAATGAGATATTCAATCATAAACTCTTGAATTTTCGCTTATCTGATACAATGAGAAACTCAGGCTTGTATGCTTATACATTTAGTATAGCTGCTCCAGTTAAGAGATTTTGTCATTAATCTTTTCATCCGAATACCTTCTAGGCTTTTTTTAGAATACAAATAGTTAACTTTAATAAAAGCTATGATGAATTGATTGACATTTTATGGGTTTTTTGATCGTCTGCTATCATTTCCTCTATCTAGCTCCATTAATTTATGGGTGTTTATTTTTTACTCGATTTTCCCATTAGTAATTGGAACTATGATTACATTTACCAATATAACACGTTAATTATGCTATCTATGAAGTATGCGAATGTTATAACTTGTGACTGCCGATTAATGTGCAGTGAATTATCGATCGAAACTGTTGTAATGTGTGGACTGCAGGTTTTGATAAGCAGCGTATTTATCGACCGGTAACAGTGACACGGAATACACGTAGTGAACGACCTAGTGCCCTGATTGGTCCCACTTCCCTGTCTAGCCCAGCCAGTTGAGTCTAGAACGCAAGTCACAGCCTCTGAGTTATGAATCATTTTACTCCAGACATACTCTATTTATATACCAAACAAACAAACCACATCGTACCATAAAATAGAAAACAATATTTAACAAGTGAAACAAATATCGACCAATAGGGGGTGTACATTTAAGGTCCAAGGCCATCATAGACTTAACACGATAATTATTGGTATATTTTTCCGACTATCTTAACAGAAACAATGATGCGTAAACCCGTATCAGCAGCCTAGAGTCTGATTGGCCCTGCTTTCCGCCTAGCCCAGCCAGTTAGATCCAGAACACTAGTCTAAGCCTCTGAGATATGAATCATGTATTTCAAAGATACTCGGTTTATATTATCAACCAGACAGACCACAACGTACCATAAAATAGAAAATAACATTTGTACAATATTTGGCCAACAGGAAAATGACACGTGAAATAAATATTGACCAGTAGGAAAATGATACCATTTCAAGTCCAAGGATATTTTTTCTGAATATCCCAACAGTGAAGTAACAAAGTAGTTTTCCCTAATATGAATAGTTATCAGATCAGTGTAGAAGTCTCATGATATGCAAATTTAAATGAATGTATGTAAACGGATTGTTATGAGTTAAAATCACTATATCAGCAATTGTATCAGCATAAATAGATTGCAAGTAATGCAAACTTTAGATTACGATAATAATTTATCAGCTAACTAAGAATAACAAATTAACATAAATAATTGTGTACATCTAATCAACATTTACTTTTTCATTTATCTCTACAAAAGTCAATATGTAATGAGAAAATCTTAAATTCACTGCGAGTCATATTAATAATCATTTATTTCTTCTAAAAGCTTCTGTTGTGGTCTAGTAGTTTGTTTCCAAATTAGATCGATTAAATGATTATAAACTTATGAAAGTGTTATAACTTGTGCTCCTATCAATATATGAAGTAATGATACCGCCAATTAGTGAACTGACTTATGGACTGGCCCAATGACGCAAAACCCATACGAGCAGTTCAGAGTCTTTATCGGCCCTTTTTCCTGCCTAGCCCTGCCTGTTAAGTTCAGAACACCAATTTCAGCCTTCGCTATATGAATCATGTATTTCAAACATACTGTGTTTATGTACAAACCAAACAGACCATACGGGACCACAAGATAGAAAAAAAGACACCTGTACAAGATCTAGCCAAAGGTGGCTGTGAATGTGGGAAACTGTAATTAATAGACTGAGCATAACTCAAGAACAGTAAATCGCATACTAATAATCTATGGGCTAAAATAAAGCTCATAATAAGCGGAACACGAATATGGACAGTTTAGCTACTCAACAATTATACAATGAATACATATGTATCGTATTCGTCCACAAATAGTTCTCAAAAGTTATCATGCATAATTCTCGTCGGGATATATAAGCGATAATCATGGTTTATTTAAAATAACCTTTTTCTTTCATTGTGGTAGTAATTGTCTATTATAATTTGTATTATATTCTGAGATTCTAAACTACTAAAAATTCCCCATGTAAAAATTAGAACAACACATAAGCGAACAATATTGTTTTTAGTTGAATCTTCATAACACTTCAATATACATTAATATTTATATGTATAGTATTAAAAATATTAAACTAATCGAGTTAGTTTATGAGTGAACGATAACAATGAAATGGATTATATAATTACATGTAATAAGCCAAATGTATGGATTAGTAGTATGGTGGCGTTTGTACTATCAGTGATAAGAATAATAAAGTTTTGAATCAATGTTTCAAAATAGAAATTAGATAAACACTTGAAAAATAGTAGAGTTATCATTGAAAATTATTAAAATTACATAATAGTGTCCAAATAATTAAATAGTTGAAAACCTATACTAAAGAAGATAAAAAACAACCAATAATGAATGTGGAGAGTAGTAATTAAAATCGGCTTTTAAGCCTTACTGTATAGTCTAGTAAAGCTTGATGAATATCTTACTGGAAACAGTTTTGTTTACTGATATATGTTCTGATTACGAAATTTCACAAAGATGTTTGTAATTAAGGTCAGAATGCCAAAAACCAACACATAATATTCTGTAGTAGCTAGAAACCAAAGTGGATGTAAAGAATGCTTCCCTAAAGAGATAGGATTTGTTGACCGAATAAGAGATAGAAATCAACTGATTTTTGGAACTCACGTTATTGAGATCAGGTTATCTGTGATAACTGTTATGAAGGAATTGGTTACATGTGACTGATTTTCGAATATTGCTTTTTTGAGTGCTACTTGCTCGGTTCCAATTGACTGTACATATGTGCCTTTAAAGGCATAAGTATTAAAGGAATGATAAGTTAAGCATTTGGTAGACTATACGATTTCAAGTATTTCTTTGCACTATCCGATAGTACACTAATCACTTTGATCATCTATGTTTGATAGATCGGTCCCAGCTTGAAATGTTATTGTATCGTGCTATCTTTAAACGAAAATGTGGTCTAAATGGAAATTAAATACTTCATCGTTAAATAGAATTTTAATTATTCTTTTGCGTGTGTTAATTATATTTCATTATTTGAACCAAGCATGATAAACAATATCAATCCTGGTTTTTTTTCTTTATTTAACAGATTATACTAATGAACTTCTTATTTTCATTAATTTTTTGACGAGACTATAATTTATGGCTGAACCAATCAGGTCTTGGATTTTGGCGCGAAGTTCACTCATCCATTTGACTAAATAGCTTTTCGGCATTATAGCTGGTGTCAGTTCATGATTAAAAAAGCCCTATATCTAATTCCTAACGTTAACCATCAACTATAAATCTTCATTTAGTCCTAGTTATTAGGTGGACACTCTCAAGGTCACTTTGGCGTCGCTCAAAAGTCGTCCATAAATTATAGTCTCATCAATTTTTTTCTTCAGTAAACTAGTAAACATTCTTAATTGTTACTTTTATCATGAAAATAAATTTTTCAAACACTTATATTAAAAGTACTCCTGGCGCGAGACTGATAGGTCCTGGGTTCGAATCTCACGAGGTGCGGGATCGTGGATTCGCACTGCTGAGGAGTCCCATACTAGGATGAAACGGCCGTCCAGTGCTTCCAGATATTCCATTGTGGTCTAGCTTCAATTGACTCATGAGTTCAATCAGTGAAAAGAACGTTTATTAAATTTCCTTTTTTTAAAAAAACAAATTTTTTTTGCTTTCTAAGCAACAACCCTATAACGTACACACATTAATTGTTATTTTAAATATAGTTAACTATTGTAACTACCTATAGTTTTGTCATAAATCTTGAAAGTTTATAGTCTATAATTAGTTGTTAGTTTAATCTTTCTATTCAGAGAAAGTATAAATATTAATATTAAAAACAAACCACAATATTATTTCCGTTAAAGTTATAAAATTTCTTTTTTTTATTAAATAAACTTTTTATTTATTTGTTGAAAATCTAAAATCTAATATACCAATCCATATTTAACTCTCATAACATTTCCTGTTTCCTTCATACAATCAAATAAAACTTGAAACAAACATACAATACTCAGGTTACTGTGTTTGTTTGTTTTTTTTCACGAGAAAATCTGGTTTTAATTCACTAAAATTAATAAAAATAATTTAAGTTTTAGGAAAATCCAATCGTATTTTTGTTTAATTCTGGCCTGTCCTTGTGTACTAAGAATTCTCTTTTCTTTTTTTTAAATGTCATATTGAAATGAGACTTTCTAAATTGTGATTTTATGATTTCCATATAGTTCACATGAATTATTTTTAGCTCTTTAGAAATTATATTATTAATAAGCAGAGATGAATAGTGGCTAGCAATGGAAACTAGGACGCAAGTTTTGTCCTATTTTGGGGGGTCGTTAGCTGAATGTACCTGTATCTCAAAGTTGATGTTCACTCTGGGACTCGAATCTAGTACCATTCACTTCAAACACCATCTCGTTAT